TACTATATCATGCGGGCGTGGAAAATCATGGTATAGATAATATTTCATGCATTGCAGAGTTTGATGACGTAACCTTATCGACAGGTTGCGTTACCACGGCCGTTAGCAGTAGGTTCGACAGTTTGATCAGATTTTCGTTCGCGTTTATTTAATATATCATTTATGAAACTTCACACGAAGCAATCTCGCTCCTGTAACCAGCTGCCGTCTCTAGCCGTAAACACCATCACCACAAATCATGCTCGATATGTGAGCACAATTCTAACCTGCGACAATGCATGATTCTTTTGGTTCTGTCTGAAGGTTTTTGGGGATGGAGACATTATAATTTCTTTTTACGCGACTGCCGTTGCATGTGCGAAACTAGATACAATAATGTAACCCTAAACCCAGGAGGATAGGGGGGATATAACGTAAACCCTATCCTCCTGGGTTTGGGTTACATTATTGTATCTAGTGCGAAACATACTTGCTGCTAACAACGTTCTTTTCGTTAGCTTTTTAATAAAAGTGATACGGCAAACGCTCACTTCTATACAGTACGAAGACTTTTCGCTATTAAAAGATAAAAATGCAGTTTACTCTGCACCCTCTGCCCCCATCCCTCACATCGAATCTGAGGGAATAGCTAATTGCCTTCGGAGACTCAGTGGAAATTATTGTTTTCTAATGAAAAATGACTTTGTTCCCTTTAACCTCAAACTCATCGTTGTGAACAATACCGCATCCCTGCGTCCCTGCGTCACCGCATCCCTGCGTCCCTGCGTCACCGCATCCCTGCGTCCCTGCGTTCCTGCGGCACCGCATCCCTGCGTTCCTGCGTCACCGCATCCCTGCGTCCCTGCGTCAGCGTGTCTTTGCGCCGCTGCGTCACTACATTTATGCATCCCTGCGTCGCCGCATTCCTGCGTCCCTGCGTCAGCGCGTCCCTGCGTTACACCATTTATGCGTCCCCGCGTCACCGCTTTCCTGCGTCAACGCGCCCCTGCGTCACTGTGTCTCTGCTTTACCGCATTCCTGCGTCCCTGCGTCAGCGCGTCCCTGCGTCACACCATTTATGCGTCGCCGCGTCACCGCTTTCCTGCGTCAACGCGCCCCTGCGTCACTGTGTCTCTGCTTTACCGCATTCCTGCGTCCCTGCATCCCCGCGTTTCGCACTGGCCAGCTTGCATTAATTGGTTTAAGCGCGCGGGCGGGGGGATGAAGCGGGCAGACGCATGTCATATAGCGATGTGTGAGTCCAATATACACGCGCCGTCTCTAATAATTATCAACGATGAGGCAAGCGTTCAGCAGCCACAGCGCCTTCATCGAGAGGCAATTATTTGTACCCAAATTGACCAACGGGGAATTTACATGCGCGACATTGATTCGTTGAGCAGTTTAGCAATAATAACAATGAGGTGCAATGCGGGCAATCCGTCGCGTAGCAGGTGAATGACGCAGGAGAGCGTGAATCAGAATGGGAGAGAGAACGAAATATAGGGAGACACGGGTGCGTGGTGAGGGGAAAGCGCGCGGGGAATAGAGGGAAAAGGGCAGAGAGAGAGAGAGAGAGAGAAAGAGTGAGGTACCGTTATATGGATGGATGGATTGATTGATTGATTGGTGGATGGACTGATTGATGTATTAATGGATGGATGGATGGATGGATGGAATGATGGATGACTGATGGATGGATGGATGGATCGGAATGGATGGATTGTAGGAGTGATGGATTGATGTGAGGATTGTTGATTGGATGGATGGTATGTTGGTATTGATGGATGGATGATGGATGGATGGAGGATTGGATGGATGGAATGGATGGATGGATGGATGGATGGATGATGACTGGATGATGGATGGAGGATGGATGGATGGATGATGGATGGATGGATGGATGGATGGATGGATGGATGACCATGATGATGGATGGATGGATGGATGAATGTGAATGGATGGATTCGGATGGATGGATGGATAAATGGATGGATGATGGATGATGATGGATGGATGGATGGATGGATGGGATGGATGGATGGATGGATGGATGGAGATGATGGAATTGGATGGATGGATGGATGGATGGATGGATGGATGGATGATGGATGGATGGATGGATGGATGGATGGATGGATGGATGGATGATGGATGGATGATGGATGATGGATGGATGGATGATGGATGGATGGATGATGGATGGATGGATGGATGATGATGGATGGATGGATGGATGGATGGATGGATGATGGAGGATGGATGGATGGAGGAGGATGATGGATGGATGGATGGATAGGCATGGATGGATGGATGGATGATGGATGGATGGATGGATGGCTTGGATGGAATGGATGAATGGATGATGGGTGGATGGAATGGATGGATGGATGGATGATGATGGATGGGATGGATGGATGGATGGATGGATGATGATGGATGGATGGATGATGATGGCTGATGGATTGGATGGATGTATGATGGATGGATGGATGGATGGATGGAATGGATGGATGGACTGGAATTTGATGGATGGATGGATGGATGATGATGGATGGATGGATGGATGGATGGAGTGGAGGATGGATGGATGGATGGATGGAGTGATGGAATGGATGGAATAGGATGGATGGATGGAATGGATGATGGATAGGATGGATGGATGGATAGAGGATGGATGATGGATCACGATGGATGGATGGATGGATGGATGGATGGATGGATGGATGGATGGATGATTGGATGACTGGATGGAATGGATGGATGGATGGATGGATGGATGGATGGATGGAATGGATGGATGGATGGATGGATGGATGGATGGATTGGATGGATGGATGGATGGATGCATGGATTGGATGGAATGGATGGATGATGGATTGGAATGGATTATGGATGGAATGGATGGATGACTGCGATGGATCGGATGGATGGATGGATGGATCGGATGGATGGATGGATGGATGGATGGATGGATGGATGGATGGATGGATGGTGGATGGATGGATGAGCAGGATGGATGATGGATGGATGGATGGATTGGATGGATGATGGGATGATGGATTGGATGGATGGATCGGATGGATGGATGGAGGATGGATGGATGGAATGGATGGATGGATGGATTGGACTGGATGGATGGATGGATTGGATGGAAGATTGCAATGGATGGATCGCATTGGATGGATGCAATGGATGGATGGATGACGGAATGGAGGATGGATGGATGGATGGATGGATGGACTGGATGGACGTATGAATGGATGGATGGACGGATCATGAGACAGAAGGGGAAGTGGTAAATATACACCTGCTTTACTTATGAGACACAATGCCCTTTTCTAAATGTTTATTTCTCTACAAAAGAAAATTGTAATGATGAAACGGGTGGAAATATCGCTAACAGAGAGGTATCAATTTTCTCACAAGCGCTGTAACCGATGTTAATGACGCACTAGACGGCAGGTGTTGATATAGACGAGTTCTCTTACTCGTTTTCTCTCTCCCTCTCAGTCTCCCTCTCACTCTCACTATTTCTCTCTCTCTCTCTCTCTCTCTCTTCCTCTCTCCCCCTCTCTCCTATTGACTCAAACCTTGTGATTACTCTCCTTTCACGTGCACGTACATTTTCCAACAAAATAAATCTCGGGTTAAAATACAATTGTTTTTCTCTAAATTGGGTACTCTGTTTCCGTTGTGCTCTGACGAGTGTCACGCGGTCGTTGCGCGGTGGTTGTTTTTGATCGTGAAATCAGCAGCAGCAGCCAGAGCTGATTATTCCTGGGAGGTTATGTGATCAAACAGAAATAAACGTGGCGCCAAAAGAAATTTTTTGTCAGCACGTTTTAACAAATTAGTGATATTCTATTGATATTATTTTCATATTAAATTATGACCTATTATAATAAAGTTTTTTTTTATATTCTATGTATTTCATATATTTTAGCAGCATTGATTTATTTTTCTAATTTAATATTTAATATTTTTTGTTTACTTTACGTTTTCATATGTTGACACGAGCTAATAATTTCTTATTTACCTTATTTAGTTATTATTTGGGAGGAATTATTAGCGCTTTGATCTTACTTTAGTAAATTTAAGTATAACCTTTTTCATATTTTAGACACGCACACTATACACACAACACGCGCACACACACACACACACACACCACACAACACACACAGCACACCACCACTACACACCACCACACACAAACAAACACAGCGACACACACACGCAGCGCACACACACACACCCCACAGCACACACACACACACACACACACACACACAACACAGTGTAGGTGTACTATCTAGTGCATAGGTATACCTATCTCAAGTATACCTATCAAGCTTTGACGGCTTACCCGTTTTATATAGCGACGTTACATAACAACCATACGCATCGCAAGGATGCTGTTTATCATAAAGAAGAAGCTAAGAATGAAGAAGAGGTGAAGGAGGAGGAGGAGGAGGAGGAGGAGAAGAAGGAGGAATATGACAATGATAAGGAGGAAGCGGATGAGGAGGAGGAGGAGGAGGAGGAAGAGAGGGAAGAGGAGAAGAAGGAGGAAGTGAAGGAGGAGGAGGACGAGGATGAGGAGAAGAAAGAAAATGAGGAGGGGAAGGAGAACAATAAGAAGGAGTAATAGGAGCAGGAGGAGGAGGAGGGGAAAGAGGAGGAGGGGAAAGAGGAGGATTCTGATGGCTCTAGGCAGCAGTGGTTATCCACAGACAAACAGTAAGCGACAGACAACAGAAGCGGCGCTATCCGTATCAGCAGACGATACGCAGCACGACAGACGCTGGCTTCACGCTCTATAACCACAGACGCCCTCGCCGCAGTCGGCCGGCTCTTACACACCATGCCAATCCATCCTGCTCACCGGAGCCCAACGACAACGATTCTCGACAGCCTTCCTTTTCGCCGTCTCCCCTCCCCCGTCGCTCCTCCGCTCTGATGTGATACTCGCTGGATTCAGTTTAGTGCTCGCCGACGCGCGTGGTTGGTCCCCGCTTGTCCGCTCCGCTCTGATGTGATAATGCTCGAGTGTAGTGTTCGCAGACGCGTGGTCGGCGGCCGCGCAACTAGGCCCCGGGGCGGGACGACGTCGTCGCCATGCTGCCGCCACAGCGCCGACGCTAATGCGCTGCCGCTCCTCCATCTTTCCGGAACAAGCGCTAATTTTTAGAGTCGGAGCAGAAATTGCGCCGTCGCCCCGTCGCTTGCGCCGCACGCGCTTTTGGCGCGGAACAATGGCCAGTAATTAGCGAGTAGCCGCATCGATTGCTGTGAGAACGATCGCATAATGCGCCGGATGCTCGCGAGAACGAAGCGGAGCGAGATAGGAAATGCAGACGGACCGGAGAAAGAGGAAAAGAAGAGGGGAGGGGAAAGAGAGATTGGCGAGAGGAGAGAGAGGAGGAGAAGACACACAAGAGAGAGAGAGAGAGGAGCAGAAGAGCGCGAGAGAGAGAGCAGAGAGAGAGAGAGAGAGAGAGAGAGAGAGAGAGAAAGCGAGCAAGAAAGATAGAGAGAGAGGAGAGAGAGAAACAGAGGAAGAAAGAGAAAGGGAGCGAGGGTGAGGGAGCGAGAGCGCGCGCGAGAGAGGGAGAAAAGAGTGAAAGAGCAGAGAGGGAGAGGGATATGAACGATGCAGAGAGCAGAGAGAGAGAAGAGAGAGAGAGAGAGAGAGAAGACGAGAGAGAGAGAGTAGAGAGAGAGAGAGACGTAGTATGAACGGCTTCTGCAGCTGTCTTTTCTTTGTTAGCGCTCCTCGCTACTCCGTCCTCTGTCTCTCTTTCTCTCACACACTTCTCTCTACTGCGCTGGTCTGCCTCTCCCCGCCTCTTTTCGCTTCGCATCAGTCTCTGGTTTTGTCGTCACTTATCTTCTGCTTTCTTTTGAGTGCCGGTTTGAATAGAATCGGAGATATTGTTAGAACAAA